TCGAATAACGTCGATTTGACGCGCATAGCGTTAAGGTTTCATATGGGAACTCTCATTCAAAAGATCCAATATCTGGAGTAAAAAAAAAAATTTCGCAAAAAAAAGTTGAGTTTTGTGAAAATGAAATTTTTTGTTTACAACCAGAATTTTATGAAATTTGGTGTGCCCTATTTTTTCCAGTAGAAAATAACATAGAAAATAATAGATTTTTATTAAATTTAATTTAATTAAAAAAAACTAATACTTTCTAAATTTATAACCAGAGTATTGCTCAGCGCTGCTGCTATCCAGAGCATATTAAAATATCTTGCTGAGAATGCGTCGTCCGTGGCATGCGAACGTACGTAGCAGTTTATACATCACAGCGAACAAGAATGAATGCATTGTTCTCTTCACGGTTATGTGACTCAAAACATTCAAACGATTGAATAGAGAACAATGCATGTATTGTTGTTCGCTGTGATGTATAAACTGCTACGTACCTTCGCATGCGACGGACGACGCATTCTCAGCAAGATATTTTAATATGCTCTGGATGGCAGCAGCGCTGAGCAATACTCTGATCAAGATACGAACACAAAATTTTATTTCGTGAAATATTGTTATAACTTCGATTTTTTTCAGCAACTTTGGATATGTCTGTTATTTAAAAATCAAAACAGAAGCAGTTCAAAAATTCACCGTAAATAAATCTATTCTTTTCAAATCACACAAAATGTTCCAATAGAGAAAACTATTGTATGATCCGTTAACATATACACAACTGCCAATTAATAAATGTTAAGGAAAGAAGGAATGAGTTTTTTTGACACCACAATATACGCGACAAGAGAATATAAGCGAAAGTGAATAAGATGTGAGAATTTTTAGGTTTAGTTCGATTTTTTCTACTGATCACACACAAACACATCCAGAATATTCGAGCATGCACATGCACAACCTGATCAAAAAGAAATTAGTAGAATTTTAAGAACAATAAATACGTTGTTACAGTGTAAATCTAGGGGCTTTTATCTTCAAATGTATACGATTTATACTGTAAATAGTGAACTATGTTGCAAAATCATCTGTAATACTTGCAAATAAATGTGCATAACTGTATATATTTCGTGTATATTTCGTCTATGGCATGTTTTTTCATTCTTCGTCGGATCTTCTTCGATTCTGTATAGCTATACTGTGTGTGTACACTGCAGTTTAAAATACACCTTATTCACTGGTATAGGACGTGAATATTGTGTATAAATTTGTATGAACGAATAGATGAAAGCCCCTAGGTCTAAATAAATCCATTCTTTGCAAAGAATACGTTTGTTATGGCACGATGCTCATTTTAAAATGTAAACAAAGGATGATATTCTCATTTCTCTGAATCGTTCCAATGTGACGGCGGTTGAACGCCCAGTGTCAAACTCATTTCAAATGACATTCGAAAATCGAAACTGGAAAGTATCCGTTGTTTTTTTAGCTGAAACTGAAATGCTATTATTTATACAATGGATGTAAATGAAACAAGCGGATTCATTCCACTGTAATTTGTATTTGTCAAATATACATTTTTAATGTAAAAATATTCTGAAATAATTGTTAGCTGAAATGGATATATCATTTGATATATTTCATCAAATTTGAATTTTTAACGGCTGCGAAACTCATTTTACATATATATTGGGTGGCGGTCACAATAATAATAATAATAATAATAATAATAATAAGATTCATTCACCGCCAAAACTGGCTGAATCTTTTGAGTTCGTACATAATTTTTTATACATTTGTTGGTGGGAAAAAGGTATGAATCAATGATACACATTTGGTATACAAGTCATTTATATACGATTCATTTATTCAAAATGGCGTCTTATTTGTCGAATAAATTAAATGGATTTCTTTAAACTTCATTTTGATCATATGAGTGATGACAACCTCACTTTCATCATACCCGTGTGTCAATTTTTCAACTGCAATCAATACCAAAAGCAAAAAGTTTGACAGAAGTAATAAACACTTTGTTGGTTGCCTATTAGACAGAACTGCAAAAAATCTTAGGTTTTAAAATGTTGCAATGCTTGTGAGTGTGCGTGCACCCTGGAATATTACCAAATAAAAATATTTATTAATATAAGAAGTGCAAGAAAAAATATTTTAACTTTGATTATTTTTCGATTACACAACTACAAATTATACAATATATTATTATTAATTGTATATGTAGTCAATATTGCCGCTGTTTTGCCATTCGCCGCTCTTTTATATGTGAAGTAAACAAAGCATTAACGTATACATTGATAAAAATAATTTCAGTTATTAGAAATCTGTTATTGCAAATAGTTTACGAAAGAACAAGAAAAATGTACGATATCGTATAAATCAACTGATGACTATTATTATTTTATTTATTATTGATATAGTGTCGCCTGTCAGCAAGACTATCGTAAGTTACCTAAAGCCTCAAATCAACCATCAATTTATGAATTATTCGTAATTAAGTGTGAATGTGTGCAAGGATAAGATTGCAAATAAATCAACAATAACATGAATGATTTATTGAATTTGACTTATAATTTTATTTATTTCAGAACTATTTAGACTAAATACCGAGCAACCAAAGTTTTTGGTAAAAACAAATTAAATTGACTTGATTGACAATTGAAATATAAAAAAAGTTCGAATTAATAAATACTCGAAAGTATGAGAAATTGAATTTGGACAAACAAATTTCGTAGCCATCTCTCTGAAAAGAAGACATGTTGGTGTATCTTTATTTATCGTTAATAATATATATTTGAAAAAATACTGATGATTTTCTATAAAAGAGAACATATAATATTATCAATTGATGGACTCGTGATCACGACGAAAATATCCTCTCAGTAATTTACACTAAATTTCAGTTTATTACATAGCTCGATTTATGGTTTTGAAGCAGATACTATATACATATGGTATAGTTTAGGAAAAATATCAAGAGAAACATAACATCGCCAGAAGCTATATTTTTGTAA